CGTAAGATTCGAAGTATCTAGGCAACGTTTCGATGAAGTCTCATTCATCATCTTCAGGCTTCTGTCTCCGGCTCTGTGCTTCTTGCCTAGATATTTCGAATCTTACGCGGGAGAAAACCCGAACAACCAAAGATCCATATATATATATATATATATATATATATATATATATATATATATATATATATACACACACATACATACATACATACATACATACATACATACATACATACCAGAGGTGGTATTCAGCAGGTTCTGACCAATTCTGGAGAACTGGTAGTGGAAATTTTTAGTAGTTCGGAGAGCCAGCAAATACCACCTCTTGCCTGGAGATTTTGCAGTATCCTTTCCCTGCCACGCCCACCAAGCCATGCCCTCAGAACCGGTAGTAAATAAATTTGAATCCCACCACTGATACATACATACATTTAATGTTTTATCAACAAGAATAAAATTCAAAACAATGTCTTGATAAGCATGGAAAATGGCACTGTATATGAAGACATTGTGTAATGTACTAAATAATAATTGATGCTATCTAGAAAACAGTTGAAGGTTTTGTTGACAGTAAACTCACAAAAGGTTCTGAATACATTGTCACCATAAGTTTTTGCATTTAAATATTCCATTTGATCCAAGTGAGGCAAGGAAAGTGCCATTATTTTTAGAGACTGCAAGTGAAAAATCAAAGACAAAGGGTTTCAGGTAGTCCTCAGCTTATAGCAGCAATTAGGACCAGAATTTCCATGGGAAAGCAACATGATTGTCAGGCCCAATGTCACATGACTGTATCACTTAGCAATAGCACTTCTGGCAGTCCCACTTGCCATTGATAAGAAAGGACCTCACATGATCACAATTTACCAACTTCCCTGTTTACTTGTAGGAAATAGGCAGGCTGTCGGATCACATCACCACTAAGGCCTGCAATGGCTGGAACTCCAAGAACCAGTCATAAGTCCCCTTGTTGATAACTCTGAATGGTCACTCAACAACTGCGAACAACTGCCTGTATTCTCCATGCACAGGATTATCTATGCCTGTATTCTCTGTTCACCTATTCTCTACTGTTCTAGAGGGCAAGACCAGAACAAGTGGATTAAAAGTACAGTGAAGGAGCAGAAGAAGTACAGTTAAGCTAGACGTCATGAACTGCTAATAGAATTAATAGGGGCTCAAGTCAGCCCAATGTGTCCTACTGGACCTCAAATAAATTAAAATCAAAAAATACCAGGACTCTGGCAACAGTAGGGAATAAAAACAAGAAGTTTGGGAAGAAGGCAAAGGTTTTGTTGTTGCCAATTCATATGTAATTTAACCTTAGACTGTCTACTATTGACCTCACCCCTTTCCTAAGAGGTCTGTAGGGGGTGTGCATAAGCACACCAACATACCTACCATCCCTGTCCTATTGTTATTTTTTTTATATGTATCCATGTATTCATAAGTATGTTTTTGCTTATACCTATTATCTTGTAAGCAATTGACAAAAACAAATAAATAAATAAATAAACTAGTCACCAAAAAGATAACTCAGTTCAACAGAATCTACATTATTGCCTGTTGCAGACTTACACTACTGTGTCAAAATAACTTCCTTTCAAGAATAGCTATGTGCAGAAAGTATCTCTATAATCAAGACCAAGTAAGTTCTTTCTTCTATCAAGTCTTCCAAGGAGAGATCCAATCAAAAACTAAAGAGAAATTTCCTGATGGTGAAAATAATTAATGAGTGCAATGGCCTCAGAAGTGGTGGGTGCTCTATCATTGGAGGTTATTAAGAAGATATTGAACAGTCATTTGTCTGGAATGCTATCGAGTTTCCTGCTTGAGCAGGAGATTGGAGCAAAAGACCTCCAAGTTCCCTTTCAACTCTGTTATTCAATATTCTGTAGGACAATAATTAAGAGTGGCACAGTGGGGGATAGAATTATAAAGATTTAAGATTATAAATGAAAGTGAGTTATCTCAAATTGTACAGGAAGGAATATTGTT